CATGTTTTACATTCTTGCAACTTGTATAGTTTTGATGATTCCAAATATTGTTGTTCTTTGTGTAGATCCTAACAATTTTTTTAGAAGTTTTGTATTTGCTCTTGTGTGTACTAACATTTTAGGTGAATCAAACTCTCAAACATGAAGACTTCAAATCAAATTCAGCAAGAAATTCTTTTGAATTTTGAAGTTTAAAAATATCATTTTAATTGAGAGGGAGTGATTGTAATTGAGTGAATAAAAACATACACACACACACACATAAGGAGATCATATAAATTTTATACTGATCGTACTGGACAATATCAGTTCGTACGGGACGATCAGACAGTTATCTCCTATTAAGATCACATGGAACGAATAGGAACTGGATAGAAAAATTTTATAAGTCTTATTCGTCCGGGACGAAATTAAATATCGTCCGGGATGATTTGCTCTTTGTAAGAATTTCGTTCAGACGAAATTAATTATCGTACAGGATGATTTTCTCTCTGTAAGAATTTCGTCCAGACGAAATCAATTATCGTACAGGACGATTTGCTCTCTGTAAGAATTTCGTCCAGACGAACGTATTTTTGTCCAGACGATATAACCAACTTAGGACAATTTTTTTATATTCGTTCTGCAGTTTTTTGGAACCAACCTTGTTATAACCATTCGTACCGGACGAACTTGGTTCGTACGGGACGATCAGCTTGTATGAAATTATTTCGTACACATATACAAACAGGTTCATTTCAAGGCTTTTAAGTAAAATCTTCCGGGACGATTTTTGATTGTACGGGACGATCTTGTACATTATAACTTGAAATATGTCATTTTTAGATGATTTTTCTTGTCTCTTCTATAAATAGGCTATTCTAAACTGCAAATAATACTTCTTGGTCATTAATCTACGTGCCTATTGAGAAGAGAGTCAAGGAGAGAGTGTGAGAGAGCAATTGAAGGAGATTTCTTGCGATTGGAGCGTGAAGGTTTCACTTGGTACTTAAGGGTAAGTGTTTCCAATTTTAAGATTGAGATTACTTCACTCTTCTCTCTTTTCTTTTAGATTGGACTTGTGAACAAGATCTTGGAAGAAGATCCGGTTCTCTGCCGACACTTGGAAAGTGTGAACAGCCGAGGGTTCTCTGCCCACACTAGGAGAGTGTGAAAGGACGAAGGGTTCTCTGCCCACACTAGGAGAGTGTGAAAGGACGAAGGATTCTCTGCCTACACTTGGAGGGTGTGAAAGGACGACAGTACTCTACCAACACTGTGAATAGTGTGAAACGACGAACGGTTCTCTGCCGACATCGGGGGAGTGTGAAAGGACGAATGGTTCTCTGCCGCACCGGATAGTGGTGAAAATAGTTTGTAAAATTTTCTCAGCCTTGCTGTGGGTGCTAAAGGAGAGTCACTATTGGTATTAGTGCAATACTTAGAGGGTGTCTCTAGGGAGTGGATGTAGGTCTGGTTTTGACCAAACCACTATAAATTTGGTGTCATTTATTTTCCGCTGCTTATTTACTTTTTGTGTTTAAAATTTGATGGTTGAAAAAAGTTTTATAGAAAAATTCACAAACTAAAACTTTGTTTCCATTAAATTTTCAAAGAGGGTTAAAAATTTTTAATTACCAATTCACCCCTCCTCTTGGTTAGCCTTGGAATATTTAATTAGGCTTCACATCCTAATTATTATTGAACAACTAACAACAGCTCTTGCTCTTCCTCTCTCTCCCTCTCTCTATCTCTATCTCTCTCTCTCCCTCTCTCCCTCTCTCTTGCTTTCGCTCTTTCTCTCTCTCTCTTGCTCTCTCTCTCTCCCTCCATCTCTTTCTCTCCCTATCTATTTCTCTATCCCTCTATTTCTCTCTCTTGCTAACTCTCATTCACTCTCCCTCTCTCTCTCTCTTTCTCTCTCTTACTCTCCCTCCATCTCTCTCTATTGCCCTTGCTCTTGCTCTTCCTCTTTCTCTCACTCTCTCTCTCTCTCTAGCTCTTGTTCTTCCTCTCTCTCTCTCTCTCTCACTCTTGCTCTCTCTCTCTCTCTCTCTCTCTCTCTCTCTCTCTCTCTCTTCTCTCTTATCTCTCTCTTTATTGCTTTCTCTCTCTCTTGCTCTATCTGAGATTCGTCGTGCGTTCTCACCTGGGAGGTCTCCTCTCGGTGTTGGGATCCGGCCTGTGGGTGGCTCGACTTTCTTGGGATGGTGGGGGGTGACCGACGGTCACCACCTCGTCCTCCTCCTCGGAGAGGAGGTGGGAGAGATTCGGGAGGGGGAAGGTTTCGGAAGGTATATCTAGTTCTCGTAATGATGTTAAGGGTGAGTCGGGAGGCAATTTCTCTGGGCCTCGCACGATGGAAGGAACGGGGGCTGCGAGGGAAAGGAGATCCCCTTGCGTGGCTTGAACGACGTAAAAGATTCTGGGGCTTCTAGGAAGCAGGTTATCTACGCGAGATCCCCCGTCAAGGGGGGAGCGATGATATCGGAGACTTTTGGGTCTGCGGTGAATGTGTATGCCCCGGGTGATAAAGCACGCGTGGGGGCTGGGAATACCGGAGGTCGATCGGATCATACGCCGGCTAGTGAGGGGGAACTCAAGCCTACTGGTGTGGTTCTGATTGCTCAGCGGGATGCGGCCAAGGGTGGAACCGGTGGTCTGGTGGGCGTTGGGTCGCAGATGGAGCTGGATGTCCCAAACCTAAATCTCAGGTACACTCTGCTCTTGGGGATGGCATGGAGATTATGGGTGCAATGAGGTGGTTGAATTCTTGAAGGAGGTCCAGGGAAACGATGGTGGTGCTCCGATGGAAGTTGCGGCAGGCACTTCTGACCTGGAAGTAATGACAAAGGAGGATGGTGTGACTAGCGGCCAGGTGGTTTCGGTGACCGGAAGGGACTGCTGTGCACAGCCCAGGGCTGCAATGATGATGGACAACCCTGTGTTCGAACCGGCACGGCCATTATTCCAATTTGGAAACATGAGTCAGATACAGGATTTGGGAAGAACGTCGGAAGATATGATGAATACTAAGGTGAGTATGGAAACGTCACGAACGGTGCAGCACAACAAACCTAAAATCTCCTGGGATGTGTCGGGTAGCACCAGTACTGCCGCTGGGATGATGCCAGTTAGGGGTGAATCTTCGAAGGCTGCATGCGGTGAAATTCCTGGGGCGGCTTCATGCCACTCAGATGTTCGATGCAATGCCAATGTTGGAATTCTGGGGACGCATCAGGACTTGGGCCAAGGTATCGCGGGGTCTAGATCGGTTCTGGGTGCTAGGCCCAATCTGAATGTTTGGAAGAAACCAGCGCCTATTGCCCTCAAACTGGAGGTGGATGCTTCAACCGTCTTGTGGGCGGACGGTATGGTCTCATTGAACCTTGACAGGGCTAGAGGAAATATCCAAAAGCTTGAAAGAGCTCTGGTGGGTAGCCTCATTGGGCGGAGAGTGCCTTTCTAGGTGGTGCAAAGTGAACTACAGAGGAAGTGGGGGCACTTAGGCCTCACCCGTATTACGCCGATGGGGGCGGATTGCTTTTTGTGCTGGTTTGAGGATGCCAACGCGAGAGACAAAGTGAAGATTGGGGGCCCGTGGTTTGTGGCAGGTCAAATTATTGGGGTGGAGCAGTGGGCTGTAGGATCTATATCCAATGCATCGCGGAAGTTTACTTCTCCTGTCTGGATACGGCTTCCCAATCTGCCGTTAGCATACTGGAATGCGGATAATCTGGCTAGGATTGCTACGGGCATAGGGGAACCCCTCTTCATGGATGAACCGACTAATTCGTGGAATAGGTGCACTTTTGCACGAATTTGTGTTCGTTTGGATTTATCAAAGAAGTTGCCCAAGGGCGTGTGGGCTCATGGGTTGGGAGGTTCTTTCTTCCAACCCATTGAGTATGAGGGCATTCCACTGATTTGCTTGGCTTGTGGGAAGGTTGGCCACAAGGCGGAGGCTTGTAGGGAATTAAGTATTAAGGCCAGGGTGCACTCGCCCTCACCTGCTACGGCGGGGCCAGCTCCTCCTGAGTACAGGAATGATATGGAGGTGGACCGGATTGGGACTGAAGGCCCGAGAATGAAGAAAAATTTGGTAGATGCGTCTCCCTTGTTGGAGAACGATGAGCAAGGTGAGTGGACTATCGTTAACAGAAGAAGGAGACCTAAACCAGCCAGGAACGGTGCGAATTTGCTTGACCAGAGGAATGTACAGTCCGGAACGGCAAGGAGGACGTCCAATAATGTGGCATGGAAAGCTGTCAAAAAGGGGGACGTCCCTAAGGGGACTGATGGTGGGAGTGCTCTTGGTATCGTGGATACGAATATGATCCCAAGGAATGCTCGTAGTTTGCATCAGAGCCACATTGTTACTGACGTGGGGCAGGTGCAGGTTGAGGTTTTCAGCGGCTCGTCTGACCCTGCGATTGATGGTGGTATGATGGATAATAGTTGTGATAAACCTCTCACGATGCTGAAGACTAGTGTGGTTCCACAAAACAATGGGATGGCCTGCCCGGAATTGCAACCGGACGGTACTTTGACAGATGGTATGGGGAATCTCCCTCATAAGGTTTCTCTATCAGAGTGTGTGGCGGACATGGGGGAGCCCAGGGTTGCGGAGAGTTGCCTGACATTGGGGCTTGCTCTGTTGCCTGGTACTAGGAGGAGGAAACATTGTGAAACTAAGGCATCCCCAGCCCAGAAATTGGCCCCGAGAGTGCTGCGATTCTCTGGGATGAAGTCGGATGTTCATAAGGCTAAAAATGTAAATACAAGAGGGGCTAAAGATAGACGAACGAAAGAATTGGGGAGCATTGGTCCCCTTCAAAAGTTGCCTGGTGTCCGTAGGAATAGGGATCGGCGGGAGGGGGCTACTCCCCTACACTCTAAGCTCAATGTGACGGTCAGGGACTGCTCCTCTGGTGGCAGGATGGATGAGGATTTTGTGGACCAATGGAAAGAGGTTTACTAGGATGTTTTCTACGGCGGGGACGCATCCCCTTTGGTGAATAATGTTTAACATCCTCTGCTGGAATTGCAGAGGTGCTCGTAAGAAGGAGACTGGCAACTTCTTACGACACCTTATTGGGGAACACAACATCAGCATTATTGGTCTAGTTGAGACCAAAATGGAAACTTTCTCTAGAACGGACGTGGACAAGCTTGCGGGGAGGAGTTGGGATTACTGCTTTCAGCCTTTGGTGGGTAGGGCTGGGGGCATTCTTGTTTTATGGAATTGCGCGGTTGGCACCTTCAATGTCACCTTTCAAACGAACCAATGCATCATGGGGAGTTTTAGGTGGACGTCTTCTCCTTCATGGGAATTTGCTGTGGTCTATGCCGACAAAGACAGGTATGCTAGGCGGCTGATTTGGGAGGATATGTCGCAGCATCATGTTGCTGATGCCCCATTGGTTGTGGGCGGAGATTTCAACTGCATTATGTCACAGCGTGAGAAGAAGGGGGGGAGGCCATTTACTTTCAACCCTGCGGCCAGTGACATGGGAGAATTTATGAATGCTAACGGCTTGATTGACCCGAGGTTCTCGGGTCCGGCCTTCACGTGGAAAAATAATAATGACGCTGGAAGTCGGATTTATTCGCATTTGGATCGGTTTCTGATCAGCTCATCCATTCTGGATGAATTTCAGGGTTTGAAGGTTAAGCACCTCTCGGCTTACTTCTGACCATTGTCCCATCCTCTGCTCGATTAAGGCGGGCGGCAAGAGGACCTATTCCTCTTGGATCCGATTTGAAGATGTTTGGGCCAGCTATCCCAGGGCTTGGCAACTAGTTACGGAAAAATGGAAGGTGCACGACACCGGCTCGGAAGTTGCGATTCTGCAGAAAAAGTGCCAAAGGACTCTCAAGGCCTTGTTCTTTTGGAGTAGGAACAAAATCAATATGCTGGATCAATTAAAGGGTGAGCTTGATCGGGAGATTAGCATCTTGCAGGAGATTGATTGCTCTCCTTCTGGCCTGTCTGAGGCTCAATTCGAATCTCTCAGATATAAGGTTCAATTGCTTAAGGCAACTTTGGCTAGAATCATGACTTGGTGGGGGTAGCGTGTGAAGGTCCAATGGATTGAGGAAGGGGATGGGAACACACGTTTCTTCCACAACATGGCATCGGCGAGAAGGCGAACCAATCTCATTGACCAGCTTAAGCATCCTGATGGGCGGGCTGTCACTGACCAGAACGAGATTTTGAGAATGATCGAAGATTTTTTTAAACGGAAATGGGAGAACAATGATATTATTGATTATGGGTGGCCTTCCCTTGATTCGCATCTTGCCTGTTTGCAATGGTTGGGAATGTCTTTGGACGGTGAGGTCACTCGTGAGGAGATTTGGCACGCGGTGAAGTCTTTGGGCAAGAACCGTGCGCCTGGCCGGGACGGCGTGACGGCATCCTTTCTCAAGTCAATCTGGGACATTGTTGGCGAACAAGTAAATTTGGCATGCTTGGAGTTCTTCTCTTATGGATGGATGGAGCCGGAGTGGAAGGATACTGTGGTGGTTTTATTGCTGAAGGTTTGTAATGCGGACCATCCATCCAAGTTCAGACCGATCAGTCTCTGTCAAACGATTTACAAGATTATCGCTAAGATTTTAGTCAACCGCATAAAAGGAATCTTTCCTTCTATTGTTTCGGAGGAGCAAGCGGCTTTTGTGCCAGGTAGATTGATCTCTGATCATTGTCTCCTGGGGCAGGAGATTATGAACAAGTTCAAGGTTTCCAAATCTACTAAAGGGTGGATGACGATGAAAGTTGGCATGGAACAAGCCTATGACAAGATGAATTGGAGAACATTGGAGGTTGTTCTGACTAAGATGGGTTTCCCCCAAAGGTTCCGATCATGGGTGATGAGCTGTGTCACTGCTCCACGTTTTTCTATTCTGGTGAATGGCACCCTTACGGATGGGATCACTATTGGGTGCGGTTTTCGACAAGGATGCCCGCTTTCTCCATACTTATTCATTCTTTGCTTGGAGCTGTTGTCCCTCCACTTTCGCCAGAACTTTCCGGAGCTGTGCGTCCAAATCAGGGTGGGGGGGGGCATACCGTCTCCCACCTCCTTTATGCTGACGACATTTTGTGTTTTGCAGGTGCTACCATTCCTAATGTTAGAAAGCTTCTGACTATTCTCGATGACTATTGCGGGTGGACGGGACAAAGGATCAACAAAAACAAATCTGCTATTTTATTTAGCTGACTGGTTACGTCCTCCACTAAGAGCCGTCTTGTTAGGCTCGCGGGGTGTCGCAAGGTGGAGGAAATGGATTACCTCGGCATCAAATTCGCGATGAGAAGACTTAAGAAGGCGGATTTCAGCCTCCTCCTACAGAAAATTCAAATGCACATGTTGGCTTGGGGCACTCGCCAACTATCTTTGGCGGTAGGATCACAATGATAAATTCTGTGCTGCTTCCGCTGTTGGTGTACGCGATGACTCACATGCCGGTTCCTCGGGGAGTTCGTGCTGAAGCGGAGAGGCTTTGTCGGAGTTTCCTTTGGGATAAGGATCAGAACAATAAAAGATTGCATTATGCGGCCTGGAGCAGCCTCACTAGCCGAGATGACAGGGGGTCTCAGTTTTCATGCCAGCAGCCATTGGACGGGTCCTCTTCGTGCGAGAATTGCGTGGGATTTTTTGAACAAACCTCATAATCTTTTCCAAAGGTGTATGAGGCATATGTATGGGACTTGGCCATGGATGAATGAACAAAAAAGGGGTGAATCTAATGGCTGGAGGATTATCTGCAGTGGGGTGGAGAGCTTAGTTGGCTGTCTCCGGTGGAAGGTTTGCAACGGGGTGGACATTGATACGGTTAATCATGTTTGGATTCAGGACTACGCCATTTGCTCTTGGCTGACGTTCTGTAACATTGAGCTTGTTGAGGGCAGCAGGGTGGATGAGTTCATAGCGTTGGATGGTAGTTGGGATCAGAACAAACTACTACAATGCTTTGGGGAGAATCTCATTGATATGATTTGCGAGGTGAGAATCTGGTCGTATCTCAATACCGACACCTTTGAATTAACCAAAAGCACGTTGGCACCTCTCTTTCGGCGATCTGCTACAATGAGGAGTACATGGGGGAGGAAGATCAGGCTTGTACCATTTTGGATATGAATATGCGACCCCGCGAGAGGGTCTTCTGGTGGAGGCTCTTCAAGGACTTGATTCCCACTCTTACATGGCTTAACCGCCGGGGCCTTGGGGCCGGCCTCAGTTGTTCGATCGGTTGTAACCAGCATGAAGATCTCAATCATGTCACGACGCATTGTCTATAACTACAGAAGATCCTGAAGCGTCTGGATGACTGGGGCTTTGTCACCCCCAGGTTCGCGAGTTTCATGGAGTTGAGGGAGGCCTTGTGAACCGGACTTACGACTAATGCCTGCTGGACCAAGATTTACTATTCGGCGGTTTTTCACAGTTGGGGAAACAGGAATGCAATACATCATGGTAAGGCGGCAAACTCCATCAATGGGTTGGCCGCTATTGTTCTCGGTTCCACCAGACAATGTTTGTTTTCGAATAGCTTGGAGCAACGGTTCACCAATCAATCCCTTGGATTGTTTCAGAATGCGTCTTGGTGTCCACCCCCTTTAGGCTGGTTGAAAATCAATGTGGACGGTGCGCTGCGTAGGAACAATGCGGGCGGCATCGGTATTACTATAAGGGATTGTCATTGTAACCTGGTTGTGGCGGCTGGATTGGGAATCACTCATTGGGATAGCACGCATGTTGAATTGATGGCCATTCAATACATTGATCATATCCTTCAAGACTGGATGTTTGATCTCGATGGGGTCATTATTGAGGGGGACAATGCAAGTGTGATCGATTTCATGCATAAGTGCCAACAAACGGAGAATTGGAAGCTGAGGCCGGAAGAGGGTGAGAGATTTAATTGGCTAAAATCTTTCCACAAGGTGTTATTTGTTCACACGAACAGGGAGTATAACAAGGCGGCTCATTTTTGCGCTCAAAGAGCGATTGAGGATAGTTTTGTTTGGGATATAGGAGATAATACATACACATGTATTCCTCAAGTTTTTTTGTCCATCCTTGAGGATGATAGAATTAGTTTTACCCCCTCTTAGGGGCTTTTGGTTTCACGGTTTCTTTTTGTAAGTGGTTTTAGATGAATGCAAAGGCAAATTTCAACTCTCTCTCTCTTACTTTCCCTCCATCTCTCTCTTTCTCTCTTTTTCTCTCTCATACTATCTCTATCTTTCTCCCTCTCTCTTTCTATCGCTTTCTCTCTCTCGATCTCTCATTCTCTCACTCTCTTAATCTCCATCTCTCTCTCTCTCTCTCTTAATCTCCATCTCTCTCTCTCTCTAACTATCTCTCTCTTGCTCTCTCTCTCTCCCCAATCTATCTCCATCTCTTTCTCTCTCTCTCCCTCTCTCTCTTCTCTATCTCTCTTTCTCTCTCAATCTATCATCCTCTCTCTCTCTCTCTCTCACTCTTGCTTTCCCTCTCTCTCTTACTTTCCCTCTCTCTCTCTATCTCTATCTCACTCTTGCTCTCTTTCTCTCTCTTCCTCTCCCTCCATCTCTGCCTTTCTCTCTCTCTCTTTCTCTCTCTCTCTCATTCAAGATCTCTCTCCCTTACTAGCTCTCTAATAGCTCTCTCTCTTTCTCTCTCTTACTAGCTCTCTCTCACTCTCTCTCTCTCTACCTCTCTCTCTAGCTCTTGCTCTCTCTCTATTTCTCTCTCTCTCTCTCTCCCTCTCTCTCTCTTGAAATCTCTCTTACTTTCTCTATATATCTCTCTCTCTCTTGCTAGCTCTCTCTCTTTCTCTTGCTCTCTGTCTATCTTGGTCTCTCTCTCTCTCTTGCTAGCTCTCTTTCTCTCTATCTCTCTCTTTCTAGCTCTCTCTCTCTCTCTATCTCTCTGTCTATCTTAATCTCCATATATATATACATATATATATATATATATATATATATACTCTCTCTCTCTCTCTCTCTCTACCTTTCTCTCTCTCTTGCTATCACTCTCTCTATCTTTTTTAATCTCCATCTCCCTCTCTCTCTCTCTCTCTGTTGCTCTCCCTCTCTCTCTCTCTCACCCTCTCTCTCTATCTCTCTCTTGCTCTCTCTCTCTCTCTCTTGCTCTACCTGCATATCTCTCTCTCTATCCCTCTATCTCTCTTGCTAGCTTTCGCTCTCTTTCTTGCTAGCTCTCTCTCTCTCTCCCTCTCTCTCTTTCTCTCACTCTCTTGTTCTTTGCTCTCTTTCTCTCTCTCTTAATTTCTCTTGCTCTCTCTCTCTCTCCCCCCTCTTGCTCTCTCTCTTGCTCTATCTCTCTTGGTCTCTTGCTCTCTCTCACTCTCGCTCTCTCTCTCTCTTTCTCTCTCTCTCTCACTCTCTCTCTCTCACTCACTCTCACTCCCTCTCTTCTCTCTCTCTCTCTCTCTCGCTCTTCCTTTCCCTCTCTTTTTATCACTCTCTAGTTCTTCCTCTCTCTCTCTATCCCTCTCTCTCTATCTCCCTCTGTCTCTCTCTTGCTCTCACTCTCTCACCCACTCTATCACCCTCTCTCTCTATCCCTCTCTCTCTCTTGTTAGCTCTCTTTCTCTCTCTCTCTGTCTCTCTCTTGCCAGCTCTCTCTCTCTCTCTCACTTGTTAGCTCTCTCTTTCTCTCTCTCTCTCTCTCTCTCTCTCTCTCTCTCTTGCTAGCTCTCTCTCCCTCTATCTCTCTTGCTAGCTCTTTCTCCCTCTCTCTCTCTAGTGCTCTTTCTCTTCCTCTCTCTCTATCATTCTCTCTCTCTCTCTCTTTCCCTCCCTCCATCTCTCTATCTCTCTCTCTCTCTCTCTCTCTCTCTCTCTCTCTCTCT